GGGCTGCTGTGGTCCCAGCTACTCGAGAGGCTGAGGCAAGAGAATCGCCTAAGCCCAGGAGTTGGAGTTTGCTGTGAGCTATGATGCCACAGTACTCTACCCAGGGCAACAAAATGAGACTCTGCCTCTAAAAAAAAAAAGAAAGAAAGAAAAGAAAAGAAATCAGTTATACAGCAATGTGAGTATGGCACACTATTGAACTTAAAAATGGTTAAGATGGTAATTTTTATATTATATGTGTTTTACCACAATTAAATTCTTTTAATGTGCACAGTATAATCTACTTTTGTTAAATTTTGTTTAACAAAAATACACACACACATACATGAAAAAAGATCCAGGGAATATAAATTATATTAAAGTGGTAATCACTAACTCGTGGGTATACAACATTTTTTTTTGTTTTTTGAGGATAAGGAAAGAGAAGTTTATTACTTTGCAGGCAAAGGAGGAAAATGGCAGACAAGGGTCTCAAGTCCAAATTCCTGCTTCTGAGATTTTAAAGGTTCTGATCGCATAATTCCATCCTGGGCCAAGACAGTCTCGTGGCCTCTGCAATAGTCTTGTGATTTCCACCCAGATTAATCCCATCTTCAGCTTAGAGCATCTCCTGACCTCTGCCCATCCTATTTTCAGCTAAGAAGTTCTTGTGCTGTCACCCAGACAATTCCCTTGAGCTGTCTCCTGTGGCAGATGCAGGTCAGTTCCCAAAAAGTTGGGGAGACAGAAAATATTTTTGCCATGTTTTATTTCCAGGCTATTCCTTCTGTAACAGTAAAACCTCAGTTTTACCTTGTTGCAGGAAGATAAGGCCCAATGGAGAGAAAAAGCACCAGACACCATGTTTATAAGAGGAAGGGCTTTAGGGTATACAACATTTTTATTTGTATTTTTTAGAGACAGAGTCTCCCTCTGTCACCCAGGCTGGAGTGAAGTGGCATAATCATAACTCACTGCAACCTCCAACTCCTGGGTTCCAGTGATCCTCTTGCCTCATCCTCTAAAGTAACTGGGACTTGAGGCATGCACCACTGTACCTGGCTAATTTCTGAAAAATAAATTTTGTAGAGACGGAGTCTCATTACCCAGGCTGGTCTCAAACTTCTGGCCTCAAGTGATCCTCAAACCTTGGACTCCCAACGTGCTGGGATTACAGGTATGTGCCACCATGCCTGGCCTTATTTTCTTTTCTTGCTTGTCTGTATTTTCTAATTTTCTTCATGCATATTTTCTGCTTTTGTAATAATAAAACTATTTTCCCAGGTTGTATTCATAAAACTCAAATAAACAAGACAGAAATAATGGGTAGTGAGGAAGTCAGTCCAAAGAAGGTCAACAACTCTTGAAAAATTTGATAGCAGAAGGAGAAGATGGAGTTGTTTCTAAAAGATACAACTCAAGTCTTCAGTGAAGTCTCTGTGGCAGTGAGTCCTTTAAAAATCTGATGAAGGGGCTCGGCGCCTATAGCTCACCCGGCTAAGGCACCAGCCATGTACACCTAAGGTGGCGGGTTCGAATCCCCAGCCCGGACCCGCCAAAACAACAATGACAGCTGCAACCAAAAAATAGCCGGGCGTTGTGGCGGGCGCCTGTGGTCCCAGCTACTTGGGAGGTGGAGGCAGGAGACTCGCTTGAGCCCAGGAGTTGGAGGTTGCTGTGAGCTGTAATGCCACGGCACTCTGCCCAGGGGGATAGCTTGAGGCTCTGTCTCAAAAAAAAAAAAAAAATCTGATGAAGGGAAAGGATAAAACTGCCCTCAGAGAAATGAAATATGTAAAGTTAAAATTTTGCATATCATCCTAGGTGGTGATGGAGCCCTTTCCTGACGTCAGGTTGGAGACTTCCAATCTAGAAGTTTTATTTGTTTACTCACTAAGATTATTTGTTTATTTTTAATAGAGGACACTAGGTGAGGAAAGAAGCCAATGGAAATTGAGAGATTGAAAGTACATGAAAAAAGACAAATTTATATTGGCACAAACTTTCGAATGAGGTTGCTATTTGGTTAAACATTTAAATGGTCCCATGCGAAGTCAAGGAATATAAACTAAAACATTGTGAAAGCCTTATGGCTGTGTGGGAAGGCTAGAATTCTTAGAATACGTACTTTCAAGACGATACTGTTAGTTTTAACATTTTCTTTCAACTTTTTTGCAGAAGTCTATCAATGGAGTCTTTTTCTGCTGAAACCAATTCCACTAACTTATCCTCACAGCCTTGGTATAAACCTGAAGTAGTTCTCTCCATGGCCATTCTCAGTTTTACCTTTTTATTGGGATTGCCAGGCAATGGGCTTGTGCTGTGGGTGGCTGGCCTGAAGATGCAGCGGACGGTGAACACAGTTTGGTTCCTCCATCTCACCCTGGCAGACTTTCTCTGCTGCCTCTCCTTGCCCTTCTCCCTGGCGCATCTGGCTCTCCAGGGACACTGGCCCTATGGTTGGTTCCTATGCAAGCTCATCCCCTCCATCATCATCCTCAACATGTTTGCTAGCGTCTTCCTGCTTACTGCCATTAGCCTGGACCGTTGTCTTTTGGTACTCAAGCCAATCTGGTGCCAGAATCATCGCAATGTGAGAACAGCTTTCACTATCTGTGGATGTATCTGGGCGGCAGCTTTCACAATGTGTATACCTGTGTTCATATACCGGGAAACATGCACTGTAGGCAACAAAAATATATGTACCTACAGTTTTTATCTCTTCAGCTCAGACAACAGCTTTGATTATCTAGATGACACCTTTGATCTAGATCTACTAAAAAACAGGTCTTTTGACAACTCCATCGTACAGCTGCCTGGAGAAATGGATGACAAGTTAGATCCTTCCTCTTTGCAAACAGCTGATCATCCCTGGACAGCCACTACTGTCGTCCAACCTCAGACATTTCAAAGACTTTCTGTAGATTCACGCCCTGTGGATTCCACTATATTAGCTAGTCAACATCTGTATTATAATTTATATAAACCTGCTGATGTGGTGGTCTCACCTATATTCTCCCAAGGGGTTCCCATTGAAGATCACAGAACTAACCCACTGAATAACTCTGAGGCTTTTCTCTCTACTGATTTAGAGCTTTTCTCTGATACCTCTAACAGTTCCTCATTTGAGTTACCAGAAGATTTCCTGTATTACAATTTCGGCCAATTCACAAATGACAGTCAAGTGTCAACACCCATGGTGGCAATAACCATGACTAGGCTAGTGGTGGGTTTCCTGCTGCCTTTCATTTTCATGGTGTTTTGTTACAGTCTCATTGTCTTCCGAATGCGACAGGGACGCTTTGCCAAGTCTCGGAACAAAACGTTTCGTGTGGCTGTGGTGGTGGTGGCTGTCTTTCTTGTCTGCTGGACTCCATACCACGTTTTTGGAGTTCTTTCATTATATATTGACCCAGAAACTCCCTTTGGGGAAGCTCTGATATCCTGGGACCAGGTGTCCCTTGCTCTAGCATCTGCCAATAGTTGCTTCAATCCCTTCCTTTATGCCCTCTTAGGGAAAGATTTTAGGAAGAAAGCAAAGCAGTCCTTTCAGGGCATTCTGGAGGCAGCCTTCAACGAGGAGCTCACACACTCTACCAGCTGTCCCCCAAACAAAGTCTTTCCAGAAAGAAGCAGTATCGGTACAACTGTGTGAAAACATGGAACAGTTAAACTATGCAGAGATTCTTAGGTATTCACTCAGAGGATGTTTCAAAAAGGATGAATGATGTGGTGAGCAGAGGACTTCAGAACCCACCAAAGAATCATTTCTGTGCTTCCCCAAATGTGGTCACAGGCTACTGACATCAGCATCCTCTGGAAACTTGTTAGAAATGCAATTCTCAAGTCTGGCTTCCTGATTCAGAATCTCTGGAAGTGGGGCTCAGAAAGTGTTTTAAAAAGCCCTCTTGTTTTTCATTAACACCAAACTAAACCACATGAGATAGATGAGAATCTAGTCTGCTTTTGTATGTTTCCACCATGAAATTTTTTTCTTTAGCATTATCTGAATCCCCTTCCAGATTCAATGTAAAACCACTTCTTCTTGTCCTGTGTCAAGATGGTAATTTATTTGACAGTTTGGTTGTTGTATTGGTACTGATGGTTTTAAATAAAAAGAGGTAAAAAAAATAAAAGCCGATGAAAACAGGAAGCTATGACACTAAGTATGAAGCTGAGTACGAGGCCAGACACCTGCCACTGGGAACACCCCGGGGTACAGGACATAGGAATTCCAGGTTTCCACTGTTACAACTAAATAAGCATCTATTGTATAAAAACAGACTACTAATACATGTAAAAATTTACTCATAAAATGTTACGTAAGCTTGTAAGCTATTGTTTGAGGAATTCTCTATTTGTTTATTCTGTCCTCCTACTAGTAGGGACCAATCTCCCGTTCTTTTTCTTGTTTTTTTCTTTCTTTCTTTTTTTTTTTTTTGAGACAGAG